TTTTATAAATATTATAAATATATTTATGTAATAGAACTGTATATAAAAATGTTTTCCAAATATATATATATTTACATTTATTCTTTTTTTTTAAAACATTAAACATCTAAAACTGTGTTCTGTATAAATTTAGGGGAAAATATCTGTAAAATATCTGGAAAAAACAGGGATTTTTCATGAATTAAGTATAGGAAAAGTAGTTCACAAAATCTATTTGTAATAATATTTGGTAAGCAAGAGAATTGGAAAATGTCAGATATTGCTTCAATTGATGGTGTCGATTTTATAAACTCCTGTTTATTTATATTATATTATTATTTAACCTTTGAATTTTTGAATCACTATTCTATTTTGTTCCATTTTCAGTAAATTTACTGAGTTTTATAAATATATCTTGCTCTTTTTATTATCTAGATTTTATATTAATAATATCTTATAATAGACCATTTCAATATAATATTTATTTATATTTTTATAAGAAAAATAATTTTATTCGTTGTATAATAAATAACGATCTTATCATCTAGAATTTAAAAATTTTAAATAATGAATAAAATACGTTTTATCAGGTTTTAAATTCGTTAATTTGATTCCTTATCTTTTATGGTATTTTGGCAATTTCCTGGAATTTAAGGTAAACAATTATAAAATTTTTTTATTAAAATCTGCTCAGGATTATACTGAACGTTAATTTACTTGATACGAAGCTCATTATCGTATTATTTTTTATAATAATGAAAGTTTTAGAGAAAGTTAAGAATGTGCTCGGAGGTTTACACTATAAATGAGAATCGTCGTAGCAAGGTTAACCATAATAAGCACGTATTTAGGGCATCCAGGATCTATGGTAAATCATTACCTGATTTAGCATGGACCCAGTATATGAGCCTTTTAAGTGCTTAGAGCCTCTAAAAGTCTTAATCCAACCCTGACAATAAATTGCTATTTTATTTATCAAAATTCAATTTAAAACATGTTTTATTGATGTTTTAAATTGTTTAAAGTGACGTAAGAATATTATTAAGGTTAATTATTATTATAGTATATTATATTTATTTGTTTAAAAACTATTACTTATGAAACATTAAGGCGAATGTGATTATAACCTAATGAAACATTTATATGTTATGGATATAGTTGATTGTAAGATCAACAGAAAATCTTTATCAATAAAACATCAGAATTTCATTATTTTCTCCAATAATTCTTTTGAGGAACGAGAAATATTTGTGATTTAAATTAAAACAAATTTCCTTCATTCAAACAGGAATTTCTACCTGATTATACAATCAGTTTACAACTTTAAAAAGAAAAAAATTAATAATAATAATTCAATTTGATCAATAAATTAAAAAATAATTAAATTAGTAAATATTTTATTATAAAATTTATAATTTTTAAACTATATTCAATTAAATTATATTATAATAATCTCACGTTAATACGAGAAATATATCTATTTGCTTTAGGAAATGCTTAGAAAATGTAATATTTCTGTTTATAATCTTTACTTCTTCCTCTATTTTTCATAAAAAATAAGTATAATAACAGTAAAAGCAATAAATAAATATAAAATGATAAAAAATGCTCGAAAATATTGATTAAGTATAAGATACAATATAACACAATAAATTTTGTTAATAGAGTTAACTACTTTGCACACCAGTTAACCGACTTTTGGACAACCTTATATATTTATATAAATAATAATAAGAAAGAAAGTAATCGTTATATTTATTTTCTCTACAGTACTATAAGGTAAACTGTTTAAAATTAAAATAAAGCGAAACGATTAATTACACTTATGTATTATGATATATTGATAAACGTACGCATATATTAAATTTAATTAGCAAACCTCAAAGTATTGAAATTGAATAAATTAAATGTTAGATAAGTAAAATTCTTTGTAATATCATGCAAATTATATTAGATAAGTTTTAGGTAATTCAATTGTTATTCTATAAAATTTGTTCAAATGCAAGAAGTTATATCGAGTCAAAATGTTGGCTTTCAAATAGTATCATTATCCTAAGGCAATCGAACTTTTCATATTCTTTCAACGAAAATATATATATATATATATATTTATCAATATCAATTGTTTTTGCAATTTCATATTCTCTAACTGAATTTTATAGAAAAATCTTCTAAGATAGTTTGAATTTAGATGATTACTTTGTAAACGTTTCAATTTGTATGAGATAAATTTACCGTATTTAATATGTAAAGTTATATTAAAATTTACATTAAATTATGGTAATTTTAAATGCACTTCTATACAATTTCATTACTTTACAAATTAAAAACATAA